AAGGGTGTGGCAAGTTCGTAAATGGGGTCGGGAGATCTCCTGGGCTTCAACCTCCACGGCTTTCAAGCAAAGTCCCATGTGGGTGTTCTCAGCATCGGAAACCCCCAAACAGGGTGTGTTTCCTGTTGGTTCTTAGTCAATCCGCCCATTGTGGGGGGGATCTTGGATTTTGAGAGACCCCATGTTACTTTGACCCGGTTGTTTTGCCTATCGCAATGGTCCTTTGTGGGGTACACCGTTTTAACTATTGTTGCCCAAGGCTTTGGAGCGCTTGTTTCGGCCCAGGGACAAAATCATGTTGTAGGTCTGAGTTCCAAACTCAGGTTCAGAAGGTCTTCGGTTTAGAACTCTTCACAAAAGCACGAGACTTGGTCCGCAACATGTTTGCAGCTCTGTTGAGAATTCTAAGGATGGTGCCCATACCCAGCCTCGTTTAGGCCAAGTTTTCTTGACTTTCTGGACGGCGCTTGTACTAAACCAGGTCGAATATTATTCACCACTCCACTGTTGATGAACAAGTGCTGCACCAGTTGTGATGACTGGATCGCAACGCATATTGGAAGAAACCGCCTGGTGAAGGGTGTTGCCCATCCACAGTAGCCAATTCTTCCAATTTTCCACCGGAATTATTTTTTTAACATATATATATATATGGTACATATATCTCTCTCAAAGCCATGCATTGTGTTTTTGTTTTAATGATCGCCTGCATTGGGTGTTTGGTTTTTAATAGGCAGAACCCCCGAGACCAGCCCCGCAGGCACTGACCATCGAGCCTATGAACTCGGGGCCATTGGCGCCGAGCTCGGCCGGAGTCAGAAGCTGAGATTGGGCGGTGGGGTGAGGTGGGGGTTTTGATTGACAAGGCCTGGATGTTTTCTTTTGGTAGTTTTTTTTTGGTTTTTCTTCGTTGCTTTTTCTCATTTTTGTTCAAACAAGTATTGTGAAGAGGCTTGTGGTTGTTTTTTTTTTTTTCTCCAAGTGGTGTTTCTGGAGATGTGTTGTGTTGACCCAAACTTGCATCTTCGGATCTTCTAAATGAGATTGTTGAGGCTATGTGAATTTGTGTTCAGCATTGTTCCTTGCTGCTGTTCTGACATTTTGGACTCAATTCCGAAAGGAGACCTGGTCCCTAGAGGACACTGACGGCAATCATGTGTGTAGCGTCTGAAAGGAACCTATTTGTCACGTAGAATTGCCTCAATGGATCGCACTAATATATTGGCTTGCAAATTTGTTGAGGTACCTTTTCAGGTTGGTTTGGAAGCAAACCAAAAGGAACACCATGTCGGGGTAGACCAACTCATGGCAGCCCTGAAATTCATGGTTGGTCTTTGGTGTTGCCGAATCGAGCCTTAGACCTTTTGGAAACACATGGTGTTGCCATGACTTTCATTTATTTAAGAATACTTTATATTTTCCCTTGTTGGTTTTTAAAGGGAATCTATCACTACTGGACTTCCAGGGGGCTTAAGCAAATGGAAGATGACACCTGCAAAAGACGAAGCCATTTGCTGAGGGGGGAGAAGGCGATCGGCTCGATCCGATTTGCCAGCCGGAGGCGATGCCTTGGTCCCCCAGCCGGCCCAGCTTCTCGCCCGCCTGGCACCTGACGAGTTGGAGACGAGTTGATCGGAATTTCCGAGACCCCAACTTCCGAGCGCCAAACTCCAACCATGGTTGTTGTTGGGAAACATGTTGCATTTGTGCTTATTGTGGTTTAGTGGGAAATCCCCACTTAGCCCCTTCCAACGTCAACCAAGCAACAATTTGCGCAGAAAGGCTCACTGCTTTCACCCCAAATATGTCCAGTAAAGAAGACGGAAAGTCTTTTTCACCGAGTCAGCGTGCGTGTGAATGGCTGGTGGGACGGATGCATATCCAGCTACTTGGCACCCCTGGACCAGGTAGCCTAAGGTGGTTCAAGATTTAGTATGGGCTTACCAGAACTATTCACGCAAGGAGACAGTTTGAACCTGAGGGCTGTGGGTTGAGAGAGCCTTGAAGATCGAACATCGGGCGCTTGGAATATTTGGTATGCCGAGTCTATAACGGAATACTTTGGAACTTGAGACAACCAAATTGGAGCAGGAGTTTCATTTGTTTTCGGGGCTGGCCCAACCAACCATCGGGAAGGCGCAAAGCGTGCCTTCATCCAAGCTTAAACCCCGCTAAGAATGCATAGATTTGCTTAGGCTAGATTCCGAAAACCTTCCCAATTTAACTTCCTGGAGGACATCCTGGAGAAGCTCTAATTGAATCTTGAGGCAGTATGAACAACGTGCTTCTGCCAGCGTGCACAATGTTTGCTGGAAGCAAGCAAATGATTGTTCACGATGACCCAAGTTCAATTGCTGGGAGGCGTCCCGCTTGAGCAAGGGCTTTGGTGCTTGATTGCTCGTTGGCCAGGGATGGCGGAGCGGAGCTTTGACCTTCGGGAATGAGTGCAGACTCCCACCCCATTGGCGTAGAAGCCGTCTTTGAAATGCGACCTTTGATGTCTCCAAATGATTCAGATGGTAAAATGCCACATCAGACTCAAGCAAACACAACAGGGCGTTGGGCCGGATGGCAGTCCCTCAACTGACTTGCAAGTTGCAGGCGCACAGTCTGCTGGGTCTGAAGCGGCCCATTGTTTTTTTTGCACAAGAGGGACCCACAAGGTGATGAATAATCTGTGTTTTCTTTCCAGCCACCCCATTCCAGCACCCAGTGGAGAATCTGCTGAGGTCAAGCGTGCAGGTAGGGGCTCTCTTGAATCTGGACTGGGCCATGTTCTTGTTGACCCAACAAAATTTGCTCTTTGTCGCCCTGATGTGGGCAGCTAGAGGGTGACCCTTACTGACAAGGACCTTGATTCACCCAAACAATCTTGTGTCAAAATTAAGTGGGACCCTTAATGGTCCCAAAAGAGGTGGCGGGGCAAGCAGCCCGCCGCGGGCCATTACTTGCTGTGTCTGGCGAGGGGACTGACAACTTCTGCGGCAAGCTTTTGCTATGTTCCGAGGCGGCCGGGGAGACTGGCACACCTCGGTTGCTCATCAAGACGCAGAGTCAGCGCGGCGTCCAAGGGGCGGGGAATGTGAAGTTTTGCCAGCAAGGCTGCGTCGACCCATCCATCAGCCTAGGAGGTGTGGAGGTGTCTCACCTTAGACATGCGTCACTCTCGGGTGGAACACCCATGTAGTCCGCGAGGTTGTTTAATCCGACCTCGCGATGAGTCTAATCTGTCACTGTTTGGTAATATCGACTTATGGGCCCATGTGGACTCCATGTCAATCCAAAATAAGTGTGAAATTTCTACGGCAAATACTGTGCGTTCTACGCCAAAAACTCACGTTCTATGGTTTGTCTACGGTTTGTTCACGGTTTGCCTATGGTGTATCATCGACCCACCTGAGCTTCAAACAAGTGCCGCCCAACATGTGAAATAACTGCATGGTTTGCGCATATGTTGCTCTCATGGGTTTTCCATGGTTTGACTAAGACAACGTCCGTGAATCTTCCAGCATTCACTTCAAAATGCACCAGTGCACCTCAAGAGCCCTCCTGAGTGCAGAGATCGCCGAGAAAGAGCGAAAAGAGGAGATGTCCCTGGCGAATTGAATGGTCAAAGATCAGGGCCTCTGGAACCTGACCACTGTGTGTAGTGTAAACTTGGTGGCTCCCAGCCATCCGGTTCCTTAGCTTTTTAGCCTTTTAGTGTTTAGTGGTGGTTTCCATTTAACCCACTAAAAGTTAAACTTTCAGCAGGGGATCTGAGGGCAGCCCAGTAAAATCATGATTATGACGTGCGCAGATAATTCGTGTGTTGGAACAGGAAGCACCGGTAGTTCCATTCATGCCTTTCATCAACTTGCTTTGCCCAGCCGCTGTGTGTCTATTCATCACTCCAGGCACTGTTGCCTGGACCACCGCATTTGCTGGTCTTTCACTTTATGCTGCAGTTGATATGGCTCTGTGTAATTTGCTCACATGTTCAGCTTTGAAAGGGGACTCAAGTGGAGGTCCCTTAAATGTGGACAACCAATGGAATAATCAGCTGTGGAGAACACTGTGACTGCCGAGGACACTTGTAAAAAGCCCATGAAAGACCAATCATGCGAACATACCCTTTGACGCTGGTTTGCCTTCTGTGTGGTCTACAGGGGCAGCCGCTTTTAGGAAGCCTGACCTGTGCTAAACGAGGGCGCGGGCCGTGATTGTCGGACATGGGCTTTTCCGGCGGCCATGGGTCAAAAGCCCGTACCCCCAGTGAACATCCCAATTCCCATTAAATAGACTAAAATGGGTGGTGCACCTACCCAAAAATCGTACCATTGGTTTTGACCCACAGCTATATCGTCATTTCATATGCAGGGTGAAATCTTGATCATTGAGCTGGAACTCGGGAAGTTATCATTGAGGTGAGTCAAAGTTATCCTATTCTGTCAGCGAATCCTCCCTTATCTTGTTCACTTGCACTTCAAGGCTTTGTGCAAGCAATGTTCAACCGCAACTTGTTGCATCTCCACAATTACTTCCGAAAGACATGCTATGCTGAATAGTGTTGAAAGCAACTAATTAGTTGCCAGCCCTGCAGCAACTTGGCATGCATGCATGTGGACGCGAATTCGAGGAACTTCACAGAAGAATTGGATGTAGCCATGATGTAGCCCAAGGGCTTTGCGCTCTTGGCAAATGATTTCATGTGCCCTTCGGCTACATGAGCGCGCAACTTCCAAATGCGTGCAACATATCCCGAACTGTTTGGCACTAACACCTCCAATTTGTCACTAGTGGTATCACAAAAGTGGGTGTGTCTATCCGTCTCCCCTTGCAAACCAGGTGGCTTCCCTTTGAGTTTTCATTCACGCTCAAAAGGAATTCTCCCAAACAAACTGCCACAAATCAATTTTAATCCACCCCAAACTTAAGTGTCTCGCCCACTCCGCCACAGAAACAAGTAAAACAAGCCAAAGCAGAAGGAAACAACCCCCCGAAAAACAGCAAAGACCAACACACGATAACCCACCACGTGGTGCCATGGAGATCCGTGTCTCCAGCCTGGCCGGCCCTGTATGCTCCTTGGAGCTAAAACCGGAGACCACCGTGCAGGAGGGCGAGCGGTGCTGAGGGCCCAGGGTCAACACCCCCCGAGCATGTGTCAAAATAGGGATTCGGACCCCCAAAATGGTTGGTGGTCCTTTCCATTTTTCTTTATACCAATGGTGGCGACCCTGCTTTGTCAAACGCCGCAAAATCAAATGGAAAGGTGTCCTTTCCATTTTTCTCTACACCAAGCTAAAGAAAGGGCGACCCCGCTTTTTCCAACACCAAGCTGGTTTTTGGACCTCCGTACAATGGAAGGGCCCAAGCAACTGTTGGGTCGAGAAAAACGGGCAGCCCAACATCTTCTCGCTTGGAAAGGCATTAAACGGCCCCCCACATCCCCAGAAGTTCCAATCTCCTAATCACCACTGCGAAATATGGAACCCAACGCAAGGGTCCTCCAAGGATTCCTCTAGAGATGAGCGTACCCCAACAAAGGGACGGGTCCTTCCTTGTACATGCCCTCACCACAAGGCAAAGAAATTATGAGGGCGGCGCTTAACCCCACTGTTTCTCCATGAATAAGCATTGTCCAAAGTTTCAAACGGACCCTCCTGAAAGGAAAACCGACTTGAAACCCACCATGGTCGTGTGCCCTATCCCCGTATCAACTGCGGTGTTTTCTCTCAAAACTGAAGCCTGGTTCTTTCTCCCCCCCGGAAAGACTACGAATAACATATCCAAATGTCGCACTTTTGGCTTTTGTTTGTTTCCCCCTCTGCCGTGAAAGCCTTATGGTAAAAGCCGTCACCCCAACCGTTTAATAGTACCTTGTCCCGGGAGAGTACTGCACAGGAAGTGAACACCATATCACCCCCTCTAAAATGGGGCACCCCCTTCTCTCAACCACGTTACATGGCAACGTGGAAGAAAGGGTATGCAATCAATGTGTGAATATAAACATAGGGATTATCCACCCCATAGTTCCCCTCATCTTGAATATCATGTATAGCTGGTATACCAATAGTACACAATTTAGAGTAGTTGGTATGGTCAAATGGGGTGATACCGCCACATGATCACCAGAAGGGGGCTAAACAATTAGACACACACACACATTCATTATGGTCTTTCGGATCGCGAGAGGAGCTGAAGCTGGCCATCCAGGAGCTTACCAGCATCCCCATCTCCCAGCAGCACCTGCTCCACGACGCCCAGGAGAGACATCAGAACCGGGTAGCTTAAATTGGTCGACGGTCCCGATGAGGGTGGTGCATTTTTGGGACACAAAGGTAGACTTCAACCCAAGGTAGATTCACCCGTGGCTGTGGAATTTTGCGGCTTAGGTTGCTGCTTTCACTGAATGGCCATCCGTCAAGTAGTCACTTGCCAACTTGCGTATCACAAAGTGTATCTTCCGTGATGAGGACGTCTTCGGCGCAAAACCTGGAGTCTGCTACTGATGAAGGTCCTCTAGTGCAGGGTTGCATTGTGTTCCAGTTTGGGCATGGTAACTTGCTCAGCTTTGGGTGTCATTTTGTTGAGCGCACCTCTTGGTGTGGATTGAGAAGAGAAGAGGCTTTAGGCTTGATGGTTAAAACCCCAGACCCGCGCCCAACTGCCAGATTGTGTGGACACCGTATATGACAACTCCAGCTGGCATGTTGCAGTTTCCGAAACATTCGATCCAAGGCCACCGAGTTTTAGCGAAACCCAATCAGTCCCCCCCAAACGCACAGAGCAGAGACACCCAGAGGAGCTGGAGTCCGGATGGCTCCCGGCGGCTGCGAAGCTGGAGCTCTCGCTGCTGCGCTGCGAAGCTCCGCCGATTGACGAGGAAGAGCAGCGCTTCTGGCGGCAGCAGCTGGGCAACGAGCCTCCGGCAAGCGGAAAACCTCGGGTGAGTGCAGGGTTTCTAAGGGACATGTCCCGACCCGTGAATAGCCGGCGGCCGCCCTTTCAACTATGTGTTAACGCGTTTTTGTGTTCTTTTTCAAAGCTTTAGCGCCGGGTTTTCATTGTCACTCATTTGAGGTTGGGTCAAAGTTATGGGTGGTCTATGGTTAAAGCAGCCAGGGGACCCCGCTGCTGTTTCCATGTCCTGATGTGAGAGCTTGGGGAGGACGTGGGGGAGGTACCCTATATTGCCTTATGTTCCACGTTCCCCACCAAAAATGGAGGAGCTATCCAACGAACCGTTGGACATACGGGGTGTCCAGGATCCATGCAATCCAGTTGAGTGGTTCATGTCACTTGTTTGTTGATTGTTGTTGTTTGTATGTGTTGTTTGTTTGCTTGCTTGCTTGCTTGCTTGTTTGTTTGTTTGTTTGTTTGTTTGTTTGCTTGTTTGCTTGTTTGTTTGTTTGGGGTGTTGTGTTGTGTTGTGTTTTGTTTTGTTTGTTTAGTTTAGTTTAGTTTAGTTTAGTTTTGATTTGCTTTTTTGTGTGTGTGTTTGTGTGTTTGTTTGTTTTTCTGTTTGTTTGTTTGTTTGTTTGTTTGTTTGTTTGTTTGTTTGTTTGTTGTTGTTGTTTTTGCTTGGCTGCCTGCCTGCCTGCCTGCCTGCCTGCCTGCCTTCCTGCCTGCCTGCCTGCCTGCCTGCCTGCCTGCCTGCTTTCTCGATAGCTTGCTTGCTTGCCTGCTTATTTTGATTTGTTGTCAGCACCAAGGATCCAGTTGAAGAGGGATGCTGTTGAAAGGAGTCAAAAGGACACCGTTCTGCTTGAAAGGGCCCGGGTCGATCAGTTTTTACAGTACCAGCGCAAGTCTTTATGAAACATGTTGAAAACAAAACGCGTTTTGGTGATGAACATTGACCGTGTTGTCCTGTAAATCTGACCAAATTGACTATAAGAGGACAACCTGTTCGTGGTTCTGGAGTATACATAGCGTTTGTTTGGCAAAACCGGACAACTAGGCAGCCACAGGTTTGTTTGCTAAGGTCGTGGAGTTGAAGGGAGTCGCCATGGTCCGGAGTGAAGAACAATATACAAAGCGGGAAGCCATGACCCCATCGCCGTACTCCCTTCGACCAATTCAACTAGGGATATCTGTTGTTTTCGTGTTGAGAAGGAACCCCGTTCGCTCTTTGTCAACCATCCTGTGAATAATCACTCCCAGCGACTCCTAGTAACCTGTATAGCTAGTTTTCACGGTTCCGGGCCTTTATTTCACGGTTCCGGGCCTCTCACGGTTCCGGGCCTCTTTTTCACGGTTCCGGGCCGCAACTTAACGGGTTCGGGCCCTTCTTTTGTGGTTCCTGGAACCAGCGGTCAGTTACCAATAGCAGGTAAACAAGCTGGTTCCGCACATGGAGGCAACTGGAAGCACTGGGTGTGTTTAGAACCCTTGAGGGAGCCACCGCCATCCCGGTGTCCGTAAAGTTTGGAGAAGGCTTGCTGGAGTTGGAAGAGGTTGGAAGAGATAGAAGCCCCCTGCTGCTGCTTGGGGGTTGCAGAAAGGGCTGAACAGGGGGCACGGTATGAACAAGCTAAGAGCATTTAAATGTTGGGAGCGCTTGAGCTGTTGAACTGCCTATCTCGTGGCTCTTTTGCTTCTTGTTCGTTTTTGTTTTATGAGGCCGTTTCAAGGTTAGTTGACAGATGTCCGCCAGATTTGCACGCTTGCAGGCAAGGGTTCAGGCTCTGAAGTCCTCTGGAGCCTCAGAGCCAATCCCGATTTCAGTTTTTTGTTGAACAGCGTTGGGCCAAGGGTGGAAGAGGTTTCAAGTCGGAAGTGGTTGGGGGGGTTGATGGTTTCAGGACAATCGGGCACGCAATTGATACATAGAGAGTAACCTACCAAGTGGGTTCCACAGGATTCATGTGATACAAGTTTCAGACCCGAATCCCCACCTCAGAAAGATTATTCAGAGCCCTTTGTTCAGACTCGAAGGTTCTATCTTGTTCAGTGTGTGTGTGTGTGGTGTGACTCTTTCAGCATTGTTTCTTTCTTTTGGGGCTCTGAGACCAACCTGGACATATTCCAGGGTTGGGCTAAAGAGGGCAATAACACCAATCTAGGAGCCTTTCTTGTGGTGCTCTTGCTTTTCTTGGAAGCTTCTTCCCATATCTTTTGGAACAAACAGACTTACATCACCCAGGCCCCCCAGTAGTTTCTGACCCCTTTTTTAGGGGGAGGGTTCCCCTACTAAAGTAGACTACAGAAAAAGTTGGTACCCTTATTCTAACCTCTCTGCTGGAGGACCTAGTCACAAAGGCTGCATTTCCATTTGTCCACATGGCGGTGGGTCAAATCCAATGGCACCCATTTTGGGGGTTTTCGGTGCACCACCCATTTGAGAACCTACCCGCCTGCAGCCCAGGATGGCATGGAGCTGCTCTACGCCCCGGAGCCGGTGCAGTCTGATCGCGAGCTGGTGATGCTGGCGGCCGGGACCCCGGCGATGTTCCGCGAGAGAGCATGGGCAGAGATCTAGGTGTGCAGGCAAATACCAGAGTATAGCACACATACATATATATATATATATATGTATATATGTTTGTTTATTTGTGCTCCCCCCCCAAGCAAAGACAAAACTTAAATGAGCGAAAATATTGTTTTGTTGGTTCGTGGTTTTTGCTCCCTTTCAAAGCAAACGGCTGAGGCTTCCATTTGGGAATTCTGTCTCAAAGAAAAGTAAGTTATTACCATGGACTTGCCTTCCTCATCCCAGGGATCTTGTTCCGTTGGCTTCCACCACCCCTTTGATTAGGGGGTGACCCCTGTGAAGGAGCCTGGCGTAAATATACTTCCCTCCGTGCAGAAGCAAACACGGCGAAATGTTGGTTTTCATGGGGACGGCGTGAGGTACCTACCCCCCTTGCCCTGAAAATGGAATCCCTGGATGCATTCCCACATTCCCTGAAACATTCCCCCCTTGCTTGGTTGATCCCTTCTCCTTTTGTTGCTGGTGCTCAGCAGGGAATGAGAAATGGAATGACCCTAAACCATCCAACTGGTGGTTTCCTTTATCCCTGCTATCGCACCAGCAAGTTCTGGTCCATCGCTGCAGGTGCGCTCAGCGGGGGATGCCCTGGCCGTGGCCGACGAGGATCTGCGGAACGACCGGGAGGTCGTGACTTTGGCGGTGCCTCGACAGACGTGGCGCGGAGTTTTTAGCGGCCTAGCGCAAGAAGATTTATTTCATGCTGTGGATGGGATGAAGCCCGATTGAACAAACTGGGGTAAACCACCTCGCCCATGAAGATTTCATAGGGACCTTTGATTTTTGGTTGCTGACTTGTTAGTGAAATTAGATTTCTTTCATGCTGTTGGACAAAATCCACTCCATGCACCAGTTGGCATGGATGAAGCCCAAACAATTACAAAACTGGAGGTTCACCACCTACCAACTGGTGCAGGACTTTGTCCATCCACAAAAAAAACTCTGGCAAAACGCTAAGTTATGGGTCGAGTCCGGGCCCGGGTGAGGCCATGGCAAAGTAGAATCATCGACGAGCGAATCTAGTTGGACATTCCCGGATCACCCAGTCTTTTTGTCTGAACCTGGGTGAACATGAATACGTGCAGAATGCAGCTGTCTAAAGCAGGTTTCCGGGCTCTCAATGGCCTGTTCCATTGAGCTGCTGAAAGGGGAGATGCTACAAGAATCTCATTTCGGTCCCATGGTCGGGGAGTCAGCAATTGAACTCCAGCAGCTTTGTCTTCAAAGAAAACCAGCCCAGATTGACAGATTCAATCTTCTGGAGGGGCCAACCGGCCTTTTTTTTGCGCACGTTGGTTTCGGCGGCACTCAGCCGGCTTTTCTGGACTCCGGCAAAAGCAGCACCCGGACGAGGTTTCAATCGTTTTGTTCACATGCGGAGACCGGGAAGCTAACCCTTGTCGGGCCCCGGAAAATGGCGATTGCCACAGACTGACAAAAGGGTTGAAGGATGGCTATCAGGATTTCAGGGTTCGAGCATAGGGTTTCGGATTTTTTTTTAGAGAGCAACATGCGTGGTACTCGTACAGAAGCCCGTGCCGTGTCGCACTTCCCGAGTTTCCGGACATGTTTGCGGCCATGTTGGCGGACGAAAAGTTTAGACCGGGCAAATCTCAGAAGTGGCTATGGGCAAAAATTCAAATCGTACGCCCAGTGAACATCCGATTCAATCCCCACTAAAATAGGTTCTAAAATGGGTGGTGCACCTACCCAAAACTGTACCATTGGTGTTGACCCACGGCCAAGTGATCCCCTTTTCGCTTCAGTTCAGGTCTCCCAAAATGGCCTCGCGCTGACCTATGCCTCTGCATCACTGAAGAATGACAAGGCCGGGCCGCCGTGACGGCGTTGACAAAGCTCCACACGTTGCCGTTTTCTGGCGTTTTGGCTTAGCTTTCCTTTGACATGAGACAGAACGCAGATGTCCTCGATTAATTTCTGGCCATGAGAAACCAGTGGCAAGTAGGGGGGCGCTTGATGCTGTTGCTTTGGCTTTCAATGATCACCAGTTTCATCGGAAGCCCCGCCTTTGTTTGTTGTCATGTCTTTCATGTCCGCATTGATTGTTGCTTGGGTCCCAACCCAAGCATGTGCCGGGCGGGAATGTGTCAGGACCAGCTTGGGCTCGCGTTTGTGCCCTTGGTTTTTTATCTGTCTCCCTTTTTGAATCTGTGCCAAAGAGGGTTGCTAGATTTGACACGTCCGTTGAAGCGCAAAGTGCATACGAAGCTGCATAAAAGTTTGCGCCAAGAAAAAGTGGATGATGGCAGGCAAGAGTTGGATGGATGAAACCCCATGAATACTGGGATAAACCGCCCAACTGGTGAGGATTCTGTCCATGGCACCTTCCAGTAGTTACTGGGATCAGAGCTTGGACTTTGGCATGGCCCAAATACTTGAGCGACCCTTCCAAATATGCAGAATTGGTTTCAAATGAAGTGGCCAACAGAAGCTCACTTCGTGTGCTGGGTACGTTGACCGACTTGAATTCGATGGCAAGATAGTAGCAAAATCAATCAGGGCAAGGGGTGGGTATCGCGTCCTGGCTTCAAAACACCCGACTGTTTGGAACCACTGGTGCTCTTTTAAGTCGACACCGGGCCTTCCGGACACGGCTTTCAAAAGGCAAGCTGTACAAGGTTTGCATCGGGGATGGGTGTCAACTGCCTAGGGCGGCGAAACAGACCTCACATGGCTCTGGGTCAAAACCAATGGTACCATTTTGGAGTAGGTGCACCACCCATTTTAGTCTTTTTTAGTGGGGATTGGGATGTTCACTTGGGGCTACGGGCTTTTGACCCATGGCCACATGTCCTTTTTCGACCGGAAGCAACTGTTCCAGCGCATGTCTCTCAGCCCCAGTTTCTGTGTCGTTTCCCATGGTTCCCTTGCGGCAGCCAGCCAACGATTTTAGAGATGGGTCCCACTAAAACGACACATGCCAGTACACGATTGCATACTTTGGTAGAGTATAGACAGACATCAGCCGTTGTACGTGCGACTTGACAAGTGATCATGGTATATATATATATATTATGTGGCCATGGCTCAAAACCAATGGTACCATTTTGGGGTAGGTGCACCACCCATTTTAGAACCTATGTTAGTCGGGATTGAATCGGATGTTCACTGGTCCACCTGCCCGCCTGGCACGGTTTCGGAGTCGGTGGTCCTGGCGGCGGTGCAGCAGAACGGGCAAGCGCTCCGCCACGCGGACCCCGCGCTGCGCAGAGACCGAGAGGTGGCCTTAGCGGCGGTGGCGCAACATGGCGCCGGGGGGGCCACGGGGGGGCGGCACGTCGAGTCGACTTAGAGATCTTAGAGTTGACTTTGCAGCGCACCCGTTTAAACAAAAAATCAAATGAAGGTTGCAAAATAGACCCGTGTCCATGTGGGGGCGGGGTTGGGCATCCCAATTCTTGCATGATTTTGTCCATCCTAGCGTGACCATCGGGCCATAGGTTTGCCCCAGGGCAACATTTGATGTTGCCAGTCAAGTCCAAGACTTAAGCCCCAGGGCGACAAATCGATGATCGAAGGGGAAGCAACTAGCTACTTGTTGCTCCAATTACACGCTGGTTCGTCCCATATTCGGATTTGAGCTGAGCTGGACCCGTCCGTTAATCAAGCACAATTGGATAGTGAGTCTGAGGCAAGAGGGCTTGTGTTTCAGCGGAGCTTGGGCTTTTGTGTCTTCCACTTCTCGAACTTGCGCTTCAATATCAACTGGGATCCCTTTGGCCAGTTTGAGTTCACTCTTACATCTGATACAAGGAGCCAGAGAAGTACAATCGTTATTCGTCCAAGATCAAGGAGGTATTTTGAGCTGATTTGGTTTGCGATTCAACTTCTCGAACCAAGTTGAGCATAGGTTTCCCTTGGTCCATGAGCCCAGGTCGCAAAGTAACCTCGGTCCTTCGGGTTGACAGAAATGAGTGCCGTGGGAAACTGAAAGGGGACCGCTTTGGAGGGCCCTAGTTTTGGCCGCCTTGCAACATGCAAGCTGGGTTTCTTTTCTTAGCACAGGGCTAGACGTTGAAACAGGGACCCATTTTGTTTTGGTCCTTTGGTGTCCCCTTTGAGTGGCCAAGAAAGCAGCAAACGCAATAAGGTTGTGCAGGGGTCTAAGACCAACTCAGTCCTTTGAATGGGTGGTCGTCTGGTTGAAATGGATGGACCCCTTTGAGAAAGGACCTTTCCACCGCTGCACAAGGTGGTTCCTGTTTGACCACCTGCGATAAATTGGCCCGCCCCCAGTCTGACCATTTGACCATTGCCGCCGTTGGCTTCCCTTTTCGGCAATGTTGGTCTTCCTTCATGTTAACCAGCAAGAAGCGTTTGCTTTCTCCAGGTTGGGTCCGTCTGGCCAAGGGCCAAGATTCAATTGGCTTTGTGTCAAAGGGCGAGCCCCCATTGGTGCATGGTTTTGCCTTTTTGATTTTTCATTAACACCAGCAACAAGGAGGCTGCCTCAACGAAAAGAGACAGCCAATAGGACAGCAAAGTGCGGGCTACGTGGCAGTTGAGAAGCTGAGCAGCAAAGTGTGTGCCTGTGTGTGTGTGTGTGTCAGAGTAAGGTGACCGCAAACATGATTGTTTTCCTTTTGGCTTCCTTAAACCAAGGTGAAAAAGAGGATCCCCTCCACAAAACACAGACACAAAGACACACAGACACACACAAGCAAATGCGCCACACACGCACGCAAGCAAACGCGCGCGCAGGCTACGTGATCTCGGACCTTTGCTTCGATCCCGCTCTGCGGGAAGACTTCCAGGTGGCCCTTGCTGCCGTGTCCTTCGATGGTTGCGCGCTGAAATACGTGAACACTCACCTCCGCCGCTGGGGCAAGGGGCGGGAATGATTCCAACTAGGTTTTTCTCCTTCAATATTATTTTACATTTTGAGGCTGGCTAGGTTGAAACAGAATATGAACATGTTCAGGATGTTGACTATAATAGATATATATATATATACACATGTAAAACATATATTAGTATCAGAATTGGGATTTGGCAATCTGGCAACCACACTTGTGCAAGGGCTATGAAAGCTCCCCAGACAGCAGTCCTCAAATCAATTGAGCTGATGCGTGCCTTTGGAAGATGCACCGTAGCTGCGGGTCAAAGCGAGATGGGTTCCACCCAAAATGATCCGACTAGCTTTGTACACTATCCCAAAATAGCCCAGTGTGGCTTGAACCAGAACAAGACTGATTTGGGATGTCAAGATGCAGCTATGCCCCAAGAAACATATCCCATTTATGCAAGGTTCCTTGATGCACCAGTGCCCAAAGTTCTGTTGGCAGAGGGTCGTGCGTTCCTTTGGCTCCATGGATTTCTCATGAGGGATCAGCTGAAATTCCGGCAGAGCAGCGACCGCCTCTCTTGGGGTTGATGGAACTCACCGCCTCTGTGGATGAGGCCTAGAGCCTCAGATGAGTTTCAGTCCGGAGTGATGCGGCGGAAGGTTACTACCATGTGTTGCTCTGGTGAGTTGGTTGACTTGTTTGGCTTTCTACTGTTTTGTTGAGTGATTCAGCTTTGGTGTGATTTTGTTTCATTGACTTCATTCTTCGTCACAGCTGATTGCCATCAACACTGTGTAAATAGGACCCTGTTTGTTGTGATGCCGGCAGCTTGACTGGCAAATCTGCGTTGTTTTTTTGTTATAACGGGCGTTATGAGGTCTCACTGCCTGAGTTCCTGGACCTTGTTTGGCCAATCCACTTGGGATGTTTAGCTGTAGGAGTGGTCAGGATTGCTTTCACAGAGGGAATTGGAAGAAATGCAGGGTTTCGGCCGTCCAGGCTCCCTTGAGATGGCGGTCTTCTCAGATAAAAGACAATGTGTGCGTATATATATATACACAGTGTGTTAATTGCAATTACATGATATTCTATATGCATAATGTTATATAGTGTCATTACATAATATTATATAGCTATACTCATATATATGGATACCTAGATGCCATCGATGCCCAAAAGACATCCACTCCTCGCCCAGGGAAGGACCGACGCATCGTCCTGGCGGCGGTGAAGTCCAACGGCAACGCCATCCTCTGGGCGGATCCCGCCTTCCGGGCGGACACAGAGGCGAGGCGCGAGGGCTGAAAAATGGGTAGCGCGGCAGCTCCGCGCCCTCCAGCAACAAATGCGAGCTCACAACACCTAGTTTAGAATTAGTGAACGTTTTGCGCAAAAGGAAGAAGGGGAGCTGAAGAGGGGTAGTTTGGGCTTGGTGCTTGTTGGGATTGGGTAGCTTCGGCATCCGCGCCCTCCAGAAACTTTGCGCAAACAAGCAAATGAGAGCTCACACAACCTAGTTTAGGCAATAGTTGGAGGGGTTGCGAGCCGGTTTGGGGTGGGTTCATGGTTGCTCTGGCGGTCCGGGGTTGGTTCCGACATTGTGACAGGGTAAAGGCTCGGTTTGCTTGCAAGCTTACAGGGTGCAACTTCAGGGTGCCGAGTTTGGGCCCAGGGTACCGGGGGTGGTAAGATTTGGCGGAAGACGGCTGTCTACTTACAGTCGAAAAGAGGGTGCCTCCCAACATGGAGGCACGTTTCCAGGAGAAAAAAAGAGATGTCTTCTGGTGCGTCAGACGTTAGACCCAGTTGATTCATGGCTGGATCAATGGAATCCCCAGACCTGCCCAAGAGGACACCCAAGAGGGCACCCTGAAATCTTCCTGTCGGCTTCCCTGCTTGGAGGAGGGCCTTTAGGCGCTTTTGAAGAAAGGAGCACACCCTCAGACCCATGGACCGCCGACCAACCCACTCCTCGTTCTTCTGCTGACCCGCAGGTGGTGCTGCACACCGTGATGTACCACGGCACCTTACTCCGCTGCGCCTCGGAGGACCGGGTTTCCGGGCTTCAGAGTTCCGATGGACCTAGGGACTTAGCACATGAAATTCTTAAGGCCTTGGTCTAAGGGTTTTTGGATTACACCCTGGGAATGCACCCACTGCACATTTCCAGATAAAACTGTGTTGTTTTGAACCATTCTGGGTCATTTCTCAAGGGTGTAATCCCAGGGTGTAATACAACAACCCTCAGACTTGGCTTATCCTTGGCTTATCAAGGGATAGCCTCCCTAGTTATACCGCCCCTCGGGACAGCTTCACAGGTCTGGTCAGGTGGGTATTTTGGAGCGCTAAGCTCTGACTACAGTCCCAGCAAACCCTCTGCGGGAATTGTGCTTGCGGCCTAACTTGTCTTTCAACGCTTGACCCTAAACCTTAAAGCCTCAAACCCCGCAGCCTAAACCCAAAACCCCTTAACCTAAATGCAACCAACAAAATCCCGAACCAAAGTTCAAAAAGCCCTTAACCTAAACCCTCAAAACCCTACAGCGTCCGCAGGAGATAGGACATGGGCAAGAGAGGGAGAGAAGGTGGCTGATATCATTATCAACATCACTCAACCTCTGGTCAGCCCTCTCCACTCTCTAAGCTTCGCCAGCATATAAATCATTTTTCCATCGGCGAAGCCTCCCCAACCCCCGTCCAACTGTATAAATTAGGTGAGCCACTCAAAACCCGGGCAGATGAAGGTTAGTAAGTGTTAAAACCCTCTAGGCCCCGTGCCGAAATTGGGTAGCAGTTCTGAGGTCCTTGTTGGTGTTGCTTCCCAAGTTCCATTGATTGCCATTTGGCTCAAGACACAATTGAGGTTCAAGATCTGATGTGTGACTGCGGATATCCGTGATTGGCATTAGGAGGAAAACAACTGCTTGCGCCGCACTGTCAGGACTACTGGTGTGACTATCATTCCTTCTTCCTTACAACGTTTACACGGGTTCGGCTATAACGGCATCGTCCGTATACACCTTTCTACGTGGTTGGTATTAAAGCTTGAGGGTTCGGTGCACAGCGTCCCACGGGACGTCACCTTGCCGTCTCTTGACAGGTTATCAGCCGTATCTACAAGCTCTACACTGGACTGGGAGACAGCTGGTTTATTGCGGGTACAGGGACAATAAAGGAACGATAACCTACACAGTACAATGGCGTCTTCGGCGAGCCCAAGTACTGCAACTTTTGGGAACAGCAGCTCAGAGGGATCCAATGGATTGATGGCTCTTCCTGCGGTGATGGATATGGTTGCAGATTCACAGGATGAACCTGGGAGCGGAGGTTCCGCGCTATTCAGCGACATATCTACTCCCACAAGATCATGGAAGCAGATCGATGTTCATCAGGAGTCGAAGAAAAGAGAATCCCCACCGAGAAGATCATCATCTTCGCCTGCGACACCACGGACGTCGCAGAAGGGCGTGAGATCGACATCGAAGGGTGGGAGGTCAAAATCACCCACCAGTGCAGATTTTCGCGCCGTGATCAAAGAGAAGAATAAGATGGAGGTGGAGATCGGGGAATATCAGAAGACACTTGATGAGATGTCGGCAGCAATGGCGAATCTTAACCAAGAAGACTATGGAAGCACCATCCGGATCCAGGAGCTGGAAAGACGATGCGAGATTGCCAGCAAGCAGTCGGGACATCTAGTGAGTCACCACCAACACCACATGGCTGAGGCATGGCGCAAGTTTGAGGAAGAAGCCCAACAGATGCGCAAGGTGGAAATGAACGCATTTCAGTACGGGGAGAAGAAAGACATGGAGTCGAATATTATAATGCAACAGATGAGGCAAGCTGAAGGAACTATCATGGAGCAGAAGCGGGAGATTGCATTGATGAGATCCTACATGGCAAGCGAGAAGTCGGCCGCGCAGGAATCAGCTATACGTGCAAATCAGATACACCGTGAGGCTTCACAACAGATATCAGCTTATCAGCAACAGATCAGAGGCATAGAATCTTCTACATCTATCGAGAAGTTCAACGAGGAGGAGATGGTCCAAAGTCTGAAATCACAGTTGGAGCATGCACTCGTCAAGCGCCCCGAGACGTACTCTTTGGAGGACTCCAGGGAACAGCTGATGACGAGGCTGAATGACGTTACAGTATTTGCGGAACAGGAATCGAAGAGAGCGGATTGCTTGCTTCGCGAAAAGGAAGAGATCGTCAAACAGTATGAGTCCGACGTGTCGATGAAGGACCAGATGATTGCTGTCGAAGGTGGTCATCGTCAGGATGCGATCTTGGAGTTAGCCCAGGTCAAAGAAGAGAAACAAGAGGAACGGTGCACGATGGACGAGAAGTCGAAGGAGGCTGAGTACTGGAGATTGACAGCTAAGGGAATGTACGATGAGTACCTCGAGGAGATGCATGAGCTTCAGGGACAACTGAAGGAAAGAGAGGCGACGCTCAAGCAAGAAGAGAGTTTTGTACGCCAACTCGATGCTGACAACGAGGAACTACGTGCACACAAGAAGCTGGAGACACAGGAAGCCTCCAGCAGCAAAGATGGACATCGTGAACGAGCAGTAGTGAAACGCGCTGAGGGAGGAACCCAGGCTAATTCAAATAGGATAGACAAGAAGGTGGCTGGGTTAGTCCCGTCATCGTCTTCAAATCAAATCCCTAATTCGTCGCTGATGCCAGGTTCGATCCTCTTTCCGTCTTTCGGTGATCCAATGATCGATGTACACCTATCCCAGATGCAAGGGGTTGTTGGGCATGTCCCACAATCCACTACTACGACTGGTGGTGGTGATGGAGGGGGAAACAACGGTACTACGCCCCCATTGGATTACGGTGGATTCCCGCCCAATGGGAATGGGCAGGGAGCGGGTCGACGTCAGTTGAGCCTCGCTGGTGGCGGAGGAGGACCTCCGGATGATCCACCCGATGATGAGGATGAGGATGACGACGACGAAGGAGATGAGGAAGACGAGGAAGAAGAAGAGGAAGAAGACGATCGGACACGGAGGAGACGAAGGAGATCGAGAGATAACCGAGAGATCAAGAATGATCGACCGAGAATCTCGAGGAAAGAGGCCGAGAGAGTATCTATTCCGGCCTGGCCAAAGATCCATCAACTTGACACCTGGAAGATGCAACTGCTGATGAATGTTCTGAGCGCATGTGCAGATCCAGATACCGACGCATGGACGAAATGGCTGGAGCAGGCTCTTGGGTTGAACCCAGACCTGGATTTGCTTAGCGATTCAGGTGGCGACAGATTTGCTACGATAGATATTAAGATGGCCATGGGCATGCAGAACATGCTGAAACAAGCACCTGACGAAGCCAAGGACGTATACCTCGATGCTACACGACACTCTGAACTACGACATCAACAAGGGGTGATCGTGAAGGGACGAGAGTTGGTGGCATTAGTTATGCAATCATTCAGAACTTCCGATAGAACGGATCTTGTCTACCACATCGAGCATTTATTCAACCTTGACTTTCCTGGCGACAAGAACTTGGTCATGTTCAGGAACAAATGGTATGATTTGCTGCTGAAGATGAGGAGCGAGGACAGACCCAGTAAGCTGGCTCTCAGAGACATCCTTTACAGGAAGATCAAAGGGAGCAAGAAGATGGAGTTCGGCCTCAATGCCTACCATAGACTACCGGACAAGCATCCTCAGAAGACGTATGAATTCTTATTGGCGTTGATCGACTATCAGATCAAGGCAGATCGGGAAGACCTGATGCTCGACATGAAGGAGAAATCGGTCAAGTCGATGATGAAGTCAGGCGGGAAGGATGCGGCTCCAGCAACTGGCAAACAGGAGAACCAGGGTGGCAAGGGCAGAAAGGGGAAACCCGGTGGACCTGATGCCGCTCCTGTGCTCCCAAAAGCCAAGGCAAAGGGCCACGCTGGCAAGAACGGCAAGTCCGACGGTGCCAGCGACAGAGGCAAGAGTCCGGGCGGAAGCAAGGATAACCCCTGCTGGTACCACTTCAAATCGGCGAAGGGGTGCGTGAAAGGGAATGAATGCACTTTTTCCCACAGCAAGAAGACGGAGCACAAGTTGGAGAGTATGTCCAAGGGGAAAGGAAAGGGCAAATCCAAATCCAGATCATCGTCACCAAAGAAAGATGATGGAGCATGCTTCGCGTTTCAGAAGGGGAAGTGCGATAGGGGGAGCGCTTGTAAGTACAGACATGAGCTCATCAAGAACAATTCAGCTCCAGCAACGTCAAGTGACAAGACACAAGCCAAGTCGAAGGCTGCCGCCAAAGCCGCAGCGCCTGCCATTGTGAGGAGGGCCATCGCGATGCCTGCGATAGTCCTGAAGCAATCGGCTCCTGCGGGGAAGGTAAGCTTCAAGAAGGACGTTGATCATGTCGAACCGGACGAAGCCGAGACTATCTACCACGAGCACGATGACGACGTGATGAGCGAATCATCGAGATGGTCTGGCGAGTCCGAGATCCCCGAGAAAATGGTGTGGTTCAAGGAAGTGCTCGACGTCGACGAGAACGGGGAGATCACCTACCTCGAAGACGAGAGAAGGCAATGGGAACGAAAAGGAGAATGGTACGGTTATGAGGACAATGAGAATGAGCCTTATCAGTACGTGTACGTCGACGAGAAGAAGTTCAAAAGCAGTGATCATCGTGAATTATCAGCCTACCAAGTCCAACGATCATTGATACGTGCGAAGATACTGAGAGAAGTGGTGGATGATGTATATAAGAAGCACTACTTCCCGGTGACCAAGGAGAGCAGCATAATGTTCGAGTATGATCGGAACAAGGACGAGATCAAGGAATCGGCTGTCGACTGGAAGAAACAGCATGGTATGCCGAAGAACGTTTTCGCCATGTCAACGTGCATCAGCAAACGGGTGAAATGGTTGATGGACACCGGATGTGGTCATGATCTCATCGGAAGAGCCAAGGCGAAGAGCCTGGGTGTCGACATCGTGAAAGATGACGACGAGATCGTGTTCCAGACCGCGAATGGTTCCACTTCCACATCTGATGTGGCCAAGAT